GTGGGGGGGGTGGGGAGGGGGGTGCAAGATGTCCCAACCCATTAACACTGCAGCCTCCCTTCTGCTGAGCCAGGAGGGATGGGCCACACAACCAGGCGCCAGCACAACCCCACTGCCCTCATGGTGGACATGAACTCCAGCAGACATTCCCTCTCTAGGGCTTGCCCATCACTCCCAGCCTGTGATGGCCATGGGGTTTGTCCTCCTGAGCAAGCTTGTCCATGGACAGGGACTCCAGGGAGCCCTCAAGCACAGCTGGGGACATGGGGCTGTAGCTCAGGGAACCACAAAGTTCAGTGCTGAAGTCTTTTCCACTGCATCATCTTACCCAAACTGACTTGGTCACTGAAATTTCAGGAGAAAAAGATCAGGGCAGTGAATTATCATGCTAGCATTTCCTGGCATTGCTTCATGGCCACACAAGAAGGCTTGAAAGTGCTGCTTGGTGACACTGCAGCGTTGCTTGTAATGGCAACCAGCTCTGGTGAGACAAGGAGAGATTTTGGCCACATCTTTACTAGCCTGAGAAGGAGACCTTGGAGTGGTCCATACTGTTCCATTGTCCCCTGCCTCCTCCCTTCCCAGCTGCATCACAGGAGGCCCATGTAACCACGCCTGGTAGCACAAGGCCACCCAAGGCTCTGGTGATCCAACATGGTCAACCCTAACATATGGACTATGGGGTCTTCAGGGCAACCCTTCAGGTCAGCCCTAGGTGTGTGCATGGCTTCTGCATGGACCATGATTTGAAGTCACCAGACTGGTAGTGAGTGCAGGTTGGGCAGGCAGTGAGTGACCTGCATGAAATGTGAACAGAGCTGTGCTGGAGTGCATGAGTCACTTTTGCTGGCCAAAACACATCTCACCAAAGCTTTCCCTCCTCCCACTGTCCTCCTCACACCAGGTCAGTGCAAAATCAGACTTGAGCACTAGTTCTGCATCTCAGCATCCTCTGAGAAATGTGCAGTGCTGCCAGGACAGAGTCGTCCACCCTGTTCCCACTCCCTGTACTACCACCACCACCTCCGCAATGAGCATGCCTTGTCATAGAGGGGTTAATAAATGATGCAAGAAAGGAGCTCTTTAATGCATGGTGACCTTTGGCCTTTCATAAATCACAGTGTTGGGCTGCAAGTGCACGGGGGGCATAAGGCAGTGGGGGGAGAGGATGGGAGGGGGTCCATGCAGCTGCGCCACGGAGTTGACATTGTTCCCACCATCACTAAAGTGCAACAAATCCCTCTATTGTGTCCCTGGTTTATCTGGTTCCTCTTGTTTATTAGCAGAGGTTGTTTGGCGCTGGCTCCAGCCCTGGGCGGGTGGAAAGAGTGCTGGCACGCACCAGAGGAGGGGAGGGAGGGAGTGGGGAGGATCGGGATGGGAGGACGAGAGCAGTTCATCAATGGCTGTATTGTCCCATCTTTTTTGTTGCTCCTGTAATGATATGTTCGAAAAAGGGGATTAAAAAAAAAGAGGCAGGGAGAGACAAGAGCGGGGAGAGAAAGACAAACGGCACAGGGCACAGAAGGACTTGGTAAGAATGGCTGGTCTGGGCCCGCAGCGGATGCTGTCGCAGCTGGGGAGGACGGGTCGGGACAGAGCCGCGACGGGGCTGCTCTGTGCCTTTATGCTGTTTATTCAGGTTGGGAGTCATAAGCCCCAGTGGCTCGGGCTGGGCCCACCCGTGCCAACTCTATTCATGGCCACCAGGGACCACGTGCGCACAGCGGAGAGGATGGGGTGGTGGGAGTGAGGGGTTGGGACTGGCTGGGAAGGGGCAGGAAGGCTATTCTTCACATCCCTCGAGTCTCAACCTGCCTTTGTACAGAAGAGGCAGTTCGGGGGCACAGCATCTTCTCAAAGCACTGGCAGTGTCCTTCACCCTGCTTGGCCATCATCCCCCAACCTACCCACCCATTATGAGAAGTATCAGGGACTCTTCCCAAATTAGCAGAGATTTTCTTGCACCCAGACCTTGCTCAGGCTTGCATTTTTTTTCCCCTGGAGCTGCCTATGGACACATGA